TCCATCTCAAAAAAAAAAAAAAAAAAAAATAGTGTGTGCCTGTGTGTATATTATGATAAGATGTAGTTTATTTAACTATGTTGCTACTCTTGAATATATAAATTACCACCTTTTAAAAAATATTATTACTTCCAATACTCTTAGAAACTTTAGAAACCACTAGTTATGTTTTCCTTCTTTATTCTTCCACGTTTTGCATTTTGACATATTGTGATCCATTTATAAACTTATTTTCTCTAAATCTAAACCAATTACCTGCTGATTTGTTCACTCATTTATTTGTTTAACAAATATTTATTACTTGCTGTGTTTCATTTCATTTGTCAACTTTTTAACATGTTTTCTCTATTTGTTTTAATGAGCTCAATAATTAGTCACCAGAGTTTTTTAATCACAAAAGTATTTTGTAGTCAAGAACATTTATGTATGCCCCCATGTCTGGAGTATCACGGAGTGTCCAAAGTAGATAAATGGATAGGTTGAAGGCATACTAATTCCTACAACTCATAAGCCTACTATGAGTATAGCTATACTATAACAAATATCACGGAGAGCATACCTAGCTTTCAGCCTTGTGGTTTATCTGTTTGTGCTACTATAATAAACTAAGAGAGATGGGGTAGTTTATAAAGAAAAGAAATTTATTTCTCACAATTCTGGAGGCTGGGAAAAGTATAAGACCAAGAACCAACACTGCTGTTTGGTGAAGGCCACTTTCAACTTCCAGGATGGTGCCTTGTTGCTGCATCCTCACATGATGGATGGAGGAAGGCCAAGAGGGTTTGAATACTATGTTGTCACATGGTAGAGGGCAAACCAACTTACAGAAGTCCTTTCTGTAGGAACCCTAATCTGTTAAGACTTAATCACCTCTTAATACCATCACAATGAGTATTAAGTTTCAACATGAGTTTTGGAGGGGACACCACCATTCAGACCATAAGCATTGTGATAAGAACTTATGTCCTGTGGTGATTTATATTGCAACTTTTCTTTGCTCTATCAAGAATTTACTCTGATGTTCATTGAACAAGAGGAAAAATTTAATACATGAAT